ACAGAAATGTTGACATGGAATCTGTCACATTTTTGCTGAGTGGCTCCAAGGCGAAGGGAGCGCCGATTTTTTTCTCATTCACTCCCATGTAAACTGAGAGGAGAAATTTCTGGAAACAGCTGAAGTGCAACACATTTGTAACTCGCTCCTGTGACCACATTTTTGACTCTAGAAATATAAAACATGACACGTGCGTTCACAAGACGTTTATCTCTCTCACCATCACTTTATTTTCTTGATTGGACCAATGGTTTGGGAATGGGAAGAACTTGTTCGAGGAGTTCAAACCCATTATAAACAGCTTTTGCTGATCTGCTCTCTCATTAGCTCTCTGTGTGCCCCTCAAGTGCAGGGAAGTCAGGAATCGCCATGACAACGGCTGCACACACAGACATGCACACACAGCCCTCTACTCATACTTGAATTTTCTCTTCAACTCGCTCATACGGCCAGAATTTTCACTGTACATACACAATTTATACCACAAAACGNCTTGAATTTTCTCTTCAACTCGCTCATACGGCCAGAATTTTCACTGTACATACACAATTTATACCACAAAACGTAGGAAAATTTGTACTGGTCACAGACATGTTGACATGGAATCTCTCACACGTACACATTTTTGCTGAGCAGCTCCAAAGCAAAGGGAGAGCCGATTTTTTTCTCATTCACTCCCATGTAACCTGAGAGGAGAAATTTCTGGAAACAGCTGAGGTGCAACACATTTGAAACTCGCTCCTGTGACCACATTTTTGACTCTACAAATATAAAACATGACACGTGCGTTCACAAGAACTTTATCTCTCTCACCATCACTTTATTTTCATTATTGGACCAACAGTTTGGGAATGGGAAGAACTTGTTTGTGGAGTTAAATCTCCACTAAAAGAAGTCTCTTCTCTGTGTTCTGTCTGTCTCTCTCTGCTCTTCTGCCAGGTGCACCTAGTTTATTACCATGGCAACCGCTGTGCCACACAAACTAACAGAAACATGATGTGTGTACGTGTACAATCTTTAAAGGACAGATTACAGCAGCAGAATCTTCATTGAAACAGCAAATACACATTATTAACCCCTAAAGTGCCAAAATGGGCTCTCTAGTGCCACCTAGGTGGGCCACTGAGGCCCGTAGGAATGTCGTAGACAGATCAAACCAAAACTGGTGTGTTCGACCTACGCGCTGACACCCATGTCCTAAATCCAATAGGTAGTGAGCTATTTGCCCTTTCAAAGTAAGACTTCGCCTCAAACGTGCTCTTCCTCTACAGCGTTTATTGTATCGGCTTCAAAGACACACACATGCCAGCTCAACTGCTTCTAAACAGATCTTCTGTATAACTTTATCTCTCTCACCATTACTTTATTTTGATGATTGGACCAACGGTTTGGGAATGGGAAGAACTTGTTCGAGGAGTTAAATCTCCACTAAAAGAAGCCTCTTCTCTGTGTTCTGTCTGTCTCTCTCTGCTCTTCTGTCAGGTCCACCTACTTATTTACCATGGCAACTGCTGTCACACACAAACTCACAGAAACATGATGTGTGTGCGTGTCTACATCTTACATGCAGACATGACAGGGGCACAATCTCCATTTTAACCCTTTAGGTGCCAGAGTTTATTGAGGAAAATATTCCATTTTCATTTCAACATTTCAAAAGACTGTCGCTTTGTTGCTCGCCATATTAGATTTCTTGAATCTCAGTAAAACAGCATTTTGAACATATTTACACAGTAGATTTATTTTATTTTGTGCTGTTTTTGTCGTCTCGTCCTCAAAATAAAGGAAGAGGAATCTGATGGGAGTAAATTAACTCATCTAATTTGCATATTGTGGCGTCACTAGGTGGCGACCATATTGGATTTCATAAATCTCAGTAAAACATTCAAAGATTCAAATCATTCAAACTTTATTTTATTAAAGGCAGCTATTCAGTGTGGCGTCAGCTTTTCAACAATCTTTCAAACATTCAGATCAATACTTTATTGTATTCAAGGCAGCATTGCAGCGTGGCTTCAGCTTGCAGCATTCACACCCGCAATTTCTTCAGAAATTGCTTCTCTAGTTATGTATTATTATTATTATTATTTTTATACTGTATTCTAGTTCATCATTATTGTTATTATTATTATTATTATTATTACAGTTCTATTTCATGTTTACTATATCAGATTGTGTTTTGTTATTGTGTTATTATACTATATTATATTTATATATCATATCATTAGATTATCATATTATCTTATACAGTGTTATAGCACACTCTGATTAAGTTTCATTTGTTGTACTGTATTGTTCTATATAATGATATACATTTTATTACTACGTTATAACATTAATATCGCACCCTCTTTCTCTCATCCAAACACCCCCACGCACACACACTCTCACTCACACACACTCGCTCACTCACACACACTCCTATATACTCCCTTCTCAAACTCAAAAACTGATGTAAGCTGCTATCTGCTTTGTTCTGTTGGTTTTTATTTCTGTTTTTGATTGTTTTGATTTAGTTATTTTCTTGTCTGCTTGCTTTGTTTTGCACTTTATTTGTCCTGTATCACCTTGTTTGTTGTCTTGTAATTTCACTCATGAAAAAAAAAAACATAATACTAATAATAATAATAATAATGTCCTCCGCTTATCCGGGTACGGGTCGCGGGGACAGCAGCCTCAGCAAAGAAGCCCAGACAGACCTCTCCCCAGCCACTTCTGTCAGCTCTTCCGAGGGAACCCCGTTCCCAGGCCAGCCGGGCGATGTAATCCCTCCAGCGTGTCCTGGGGTGGTCCCGAGGTCTCCTCCCATCTGATCCAACTCACCACCAGGTGGTGATCAGTTGACAGCTCTGCTCCTCTCTTCACCCGAGTGTCCAGAACATACGGCCGCAGGTCAAATGATACTACTACAAAGTCAATCAGTGACCTGGGACCTAGGCTGTCCTGGTGCCACGTGCACCGATGGACATCCTTATGTTCGAACATGGTGTTAGTTATGGCCAAACTGCGACACGCACAGAAGTCCAATAACTGAACACCACTCGGGTTCAGATCGGGCAGGCCGTTCCTCCCAATCACGCCCCTCCAGGTACTGCTGTCATTGCCCACGTGAGCATTGAAGTCTCCCAGCAGAACAATGGAGTCCCCGGTTGGGGCACTGTCCAGCACCCATCCCAGGGACTCCAAAAAGGGCGGGTACCCTGAACTGCTGTTCGGCGCATAAGCGCAGACAACAGTCAGGACCCGTTCCCTGACCCGAAGGCGAAGGGAAGCAACCCTTTCGTCTACTGGGGTGAACCCCAACATACAGGCAGAGAGTCTGGGGGTTATCAGAAATCTCCGCCTCTCACCCGGAGCAACTCCAGCAAAGGAGAGAGTCCAACCCCTCTCAAGGACTTGGGTTCCAAAGCCGGAACTATGTGTCGAGGTGAGGCCAAGTATGTCTAGCCGGTAGCGCTCAACCTCTTCCACAAGCTCCGGCTCCTTCCCCGCCAGACAGGTGACATTCTATGTCCCAAGAGCCAACTTCCGTAGCCGAGGATCGGACTGCCAAGGCCCCCGCCTTGGTCTGCTGCCCGATCCACAGAGCACCAGCATCCCTCTGCGGGTGGTGGGCCTGCAGGGGGACGAGCCCATGTAGCCGGTTCGGGCTGCATGGGCTATACCCCATGGGCGAAGGCCCGTCCACCAGGTGCTCACCCACGGGCCCCAACCCCAGGCCTGGGTATACGTGCTCTTGCTGTTGTCCATCATGAAGGGTCTTTTGAACCATTCTTCATCTGACCCTTCACCCAGAACCAATCTGCCATGGGAAACCCTACCGGGGGCAAAATGCCCCCGACAGCATAGCTCCTAGGGTCATTAGAGCAGTCAAACTCCTCCACCACGATAAGGTGACGGTAATGTTTATATCATTACATGATATTATTATTACCAAAATGAACTTAAAATAATACTTGCTCAAGGAAGGAAATTAAAGCTTTTTTCTTTTTTTTTTTATGGGTAGCAGTCATGTGCAACATACACAATGTGGAGGTAATGAAGTACAACATCCAAAACCTGCAGTATGACCAGCCCATTCTCCTTCCAAACTCATAAAAAAACCACCGCTTTGTCAGTAATTTTGGCGACACTAAAAGGCACATTTCGCAGCATTTTCGCATTTGTAACGCAGCCGGCAACTACATAATGTAATTTTAATTTATTTTTTTTAATGTACTTTATTAATCCCCAAGGGGGAAATTAAATCTTTTCACTCTATTGTCATATACATACACATGCCTGAAATACACATACAGGCACAAACGGGACCATTTTTACATGCATTAAATGGAGAGATGTCAGAGTGAGGGGGCTGCCCATGGACAGGCGTCCCGAGCAGTTGGCAGGTTCGGTGCCTTGGTCAAAGGCACCTGGGCAGTGCCCAGGAGGTGAACTGGCACCTCTCCAGTCCTCGCTACATAAGGAGTTGGTAAGCCCCTATAGGGTGGGTGGATAGGTCCAACAAATTCCCAACTTTCACCTGGGAGCCTGCTGTTAATTTCCCATGTGAATGTTGAGCCACACAGTGATTTTTTTTTTTTTCTGAACCTGACCACCTGCTTTTGTTGCTCAAGGGATAAACCTCAAAATAAGGTGTTTTACCTACATTGTAAGTGTGTTTTGAAAAAGACTATGCATGTAACAAACAGAAACTGTACATTTCCCTTGAAAACAGAAGTGTATAAGTTTAAGTAAAGACACAATGCATGTAGCAGGCATAAAGAGACATGGCATCTTGAGCCTCATTAACAGATGCAGTGCGTCCTTTGTAGACATGAAAGTCCACTGAGAAAGCAGTGATATTTGATGAGTTGGGATAAGAATGCGTTGGTTTTACTGTACAGCAAAAAATGTCAAGCTACATTCCACTGAGTGATGTAATGGTGTGTCTCACACATATATTGTTTGATGTGAAATATTTTCTGATCTTCTAACTCACACTTTAACTTCCTACTCAGAGCCCATGGGCCAGACGCCATGATCCTAGTGGATGGACAGCCTTTGCAGACCAATGGGGAGCTGGGTCTCTCCCAGATGCTTCACATAGCAAGTCAGATCGCAGCTGGGATGATCTACTTGGCATCTCAACACTTTGTGCACCGTGATCTGGCAACCAGGAACTGCCTGGTGGGGAATGGCCTTCTGGTGAAAATAGGAGACTTTGGCATGTCCAGGGACATTTACAGCACTGATTATTACAGGGTAAGAACAAGTCTTTTTGTTTCATGCATAACACACCTTTTTGTGACCCCCCTTTGTTAGATACTGAACCCCAAATTGCTCCTGATGGCTTTGCCATTGGTGTATGATATTCAAGCCTCAACCTCCGGGGCTGAAACATGAAGCCAACATGGAAGTGCTAAAAACTGCTGTTCCTTGAAACGCCACTTGCGGCTGGCTCCAAAAGCGAATCAGTCCCAGCAGACACCTATTTTAAAATGCCCAACTTTACAGCAGAAATAAACATGTTTACAGCCTGGTGCAAAAATTAGTTTTGGTCTCAATAGCTAATTCCCCCTTTCATGACAACTGTAAACTGCATTGGTTAGGGCTGGGGTAAGAATGTCAGGGTAAGCCAATCAGAGGAAGAGTAAGGCAGAGTAAATAGGGCCATTTCTTCGCTACACTAAGATCTGCAAATTTGTCATCTATACAAGGGGTGATTTTTTTATTTATTTATTATTTTCTTAAATCATATGTTTGCATTTAATTACAGCATAAACTTATGCATATTTGAGGGCAGAGCAGCTTGAATGACAGGATGTCTGTGAGGCATCACCACAGTCTGTAAGTCAGACCCCCCCCTCCCTTATCCAAATATGGTCACATCTGGCTCAAAAGATCCAAGATGGTGACAGTCCATGGTGAGTGGATGTGAACGTTTAATAGCAAGTGGCACCTTGTATGGTAGCCTCAGCCACTGGTGTGTGAATGTGTGTGTAGATGGCTGAATGTTTCATATAAAAGTGCTTTAAGTGCTCGGAAGACTAGAAAGGCGCTATACAAGTGCAAGTCAATTTATCATGCTCCCACAAGATTGAGGATCACTTCACCTCCATGGACCCAGCACGTACATGGCATGGCATTCATCAGATTCATCACCAACTTCAGAGGCAGCAGTGACTCACCAACAGAATGCGGCCCCATACTGGCTGATGAATTGAAACGCTTCTTTGTCTGTTTTGAGAGAAGACCGGACAATGAAGCTTCACCCCGGCTGGACCCTGCTGAAAGCTCACTTATCCTCCAGACACAAGAGCTTAACCGGGTCCTGAGAGCAGTGAATGCCAAGAATTCAGCTGGACCAGATGGAATCCCAAGAGGAGCTCTCTGGGACTATGCACATGAGTTTTTTACGGACATCTTTAACCTCTCACTGGCTTGTTTTGCCGGCAAGCTGCGAGCGTTTATACACACAGAGGCGGAATGGTGAGTTGATCCGAGGCACCCAATTTTCTGCCTCATAGGGTAGTCATATTGGCGGAGCCTTTTTAGTTTAAACAGACCAAGGCGGCCTTCCGCAACGGCAGGGGCTGTTGAAGACCTGTGGGAGGAGCTGGCGGTGCGAGCCACTGGCGGTGGATAAACAGGAAACAGCTGATAGCAGGANCCTCTGTCTCTCATCCAAACACCCCCACGCACACACACTCTCACTCACACACACTCGCTCACTCACACACACTCCTATATACTCCCTTCTCAAACTCAAAAACTGATGTAAGCTGCTATCTGCTTTGTTCTGTTGGTTTTTATTTCTGTTTTTGATTGTTTTGATTTAGTTATTTTCTTGTCTGCTTGCTTTGTTTTGCACTTTATTTGTCCTGTATCACCTTGTTTGTTGTCTTGTAATTTCACTCATGAAAAAAAAAAACATAATACTAATAATAATAATAATAATGTCCTCCGCTTATCCGGGTACGGGTCGCGGGGACAGCAGCCTCAGCAAAGAAGCCCAGACAGACCTCTCCCCAGCCACTTCTGTCAGCTCTTCCGAGGGAACCCCGTTCCCAGGCCAGCCGGGCGATGTAATCCCTCCAGCGTGTCCTGGGGTGGTCCCGAGGTCTCCTCCCATCTGATCCAACTCACCACCAGGTGGTGATCAGTTGACAGCTCTGCTCCTCTCTTCACCCGAGTGTCCAGAACATACGGCCGCAGGTCAAATGATACTACTACAAAGTCAATCAGTGACCTGGGACCTAGGCTGTCCTGGTGCCACGTGCACCGATGGACATCCTTATGTTCGAACATGGTGTTAGTTATGGCCAAACTGCGACACGCACAGAAGTCCAATAACTGAACACCACTCGGGTTCAGATCGGGCAGGCCGTTCCTCCCAATCACGCCCCTCCAGGTACTGCTGTCATTGCCCACGTGAGCATTGAAGTCTCCCAGCAGAACAATGGAGTCCCCGGTTGGGGCACTGTCCAGCACCCATCCCAGGGACTCCAAAAAGGGCGGGTACCCTGAACTGCTGTTCGGCGCATAAGCGCAGACAACAGTCAGGACCCGTTCCCTGACCCGAAGGCGAAGGGAAGCAACCCTTTCGTCTACTGGGGTGAACCCCAACATACAGGCAGAGAGTCTGGGGGTTATCAGAAATCTCCGCCTCTCACCCGGAGCAACTCCAGCAAAGGAGAGAGTCCAACCCCTCTCAAGGACTTGGGTTCCAAAGCCGGAACTATGTGTCGAGGTGAGGCCAAGTATGTCTAGCCGGTAGCGCTCAACCTCTTCCACAAGCTCCGGCTCCTTCCCCGCCAGACAGGTGACATTCTATGTCCCAAGAGCCAACTTCCGTAGCCGAGGATCGGACTGCCAAGGCCCCCGCCTTGGTCTGCTGCCCGATCCACAGAGCACCAGCATCCCTCTGCGGGTGGTGGGCCTGCAGGGGGACGAGCCCATGTAGCCGGTTCGGGCTGCATGGGCTATACCCCATGGGCGAAGGCCCGTCCACCAGGTGCTCACCCACGGGCCCCAACCCCAGGCCTGGGTATACGTGCTCTTGCTGTTGTCCATCATGAAGGGTCTTTTGAACCATTCTTCATCTGACCCTTCACCCAGAACCAATCTGCCATGGGAAACCCTACCGGGGGCAAAATGCCCCCGACAGCATAGCTCCTAGGGTCATTAGAGCAGTCAAACTCCTCCACCACGATAAGGTGACGGTAATGTTTATATCATTACATGATATTATTATTACCAAAATGAACTTAAAATAATACTTGCTCAAGGAAGGAAATTAAAGCTTTTTTCTTTTTTTTTTTATGGGTAGCAGTCATGTGCAACATACACAATGTGGAGGTAATGAAGTACAACATCCAAAACCTGCAGTATGACCAGCCCATTCTCCTTCCAAACTCATAAAAAAACCACCGCTTTGTCAGTAATTTTGGCGACACTAAAAGGCACATTTCGCAGCATTTTCGCATTTGTAACGCAGCCGGCAACTACATAATGTAATTTTAATTTATTTTTTTTAATGTACTTTATTAATCCCCAAGGGGGAAATTAAATCTTTTCACTCTATTGTCATATACATACACATGCCTGAAATACACATACAGGCACAAACGGGACCATTTTTACATGCATTAAATGGAGAGATGTCAGAGTGAGGGGGCTGCCCATGGACAGGCGTCCCGAGCAGTTGGCAGGTTCGGTGCCTTGGTCAAAGGCACCTGGGCAGTGCCCAGGAGGTGAACTGGCACCTCTCCAGTCCTCGCTACATAAGGAGTTGGTAAGCCCCTATAGGGTGGGTGGATAGGTCCAACAAATTCCCAACTTTCACCTGGGAGCCTGCTGTTAATTTCCCATGTGAATGTTGAGCCACACAGTGATTTTTTTTTTTTTCTGAACCTGACCACCTGCTTTTGTTGCTCAAGGGATAAACCTCAAAATAAGGTGTTTTACCTACATTGTAAGTGTGTTTTGAAAAAGACTATGCATGTAACAAACAGAAACTGTACATTTCCCTTGAAAACAGAAGTGTATAAGTTTAAGTAAAGACACAATGCATGTAGCAGGCATAAAGAGACATGGCATCTTGAGCCTCATTAACAGATGCAGTGCGTCCTTTGTAGACATGAAAGTCCACTGAGAAAGCAGTGATATTTGATGAGTTGGGATAAGAATGCGTTGGTTTTACTGTACAGCAAAAAATGTCAAGCTACATTCCACTGAGTGATGTAATGGTGTGTCTCACACATATATTGTTTGATGTGAAATATTTTCTGATCTTCTAACTCACACTTTAACTTCCTACTCAGAGCCCATGGGCCAGACGCCATGATCCTAGTGGATGGACAGCCTTTGCAGACCAATGGGGAGCTGGGTCTCTCCCAGATGCTTCACATAGCAAGTCAGATCGCAGCTGGGATGATCTACTTGGCATCTCAACACTTTGTGCACCGTGATCTGGCAACCAGGAACTGCCTGGTGGGGAATGGCCTTCTGGTGAAAATAGGAGACTTTGGCATGTCCAGGGACATTTACAGCACTGATTATTACAGGGTAAGAACAAGTCTTTTTGTTTCATGCATAACACACCTTTTTGTGACCCCCCTTTGTTAGATACTGAACCCCAAATTGCTCCTGATGGCTTTGCCATTGGTGTATGATATTCAAGCCTCAACCTCCGGGGCTGAAACATGAAGCCAACATGGAAGTGCTAAAAACTGCTGTTCCTTGAAACGCCACTTGCGGCTAGCTCCAAAAGCGAATCAGTCCCAGCAGACACCTATTTTAAAATGCCCAACTTTACAGCAGAAATAAACATGTTTACAGCCTGGTGCAAAAATTAGTTTTGGTCTCAATAGCTAATTCCCCCTTTCATGACAACTGTAAACTGCATTGGTTAGGGCTGGGGTAAGAATGTCAGGGTAAGCCAATCAGAGGAAGAGTAAGGCAGAGTAAATAGGGCCATTTCTTCGCTACACTAAGATCTGCAAATTTGTCATCTATACAAGGGGTGATTTTTTTATTTATTTATTATTTTCTTAAATCATATGTTTGCATTTAATTACAGCATAAACTTATGCATATTTGAGGGCAGAGCAGCTTGAATGACAGGATGTCTGTGAGGCATCACCACAGTCTGTAAGTCAGACCCCCCCCTCCCTTATCCAAATATGGTCACATCTGGCTCAAAAGATCCAAGATGGTGACAGTCCATGGTGAGTGGATGTGAACGTTTAATAGCAAGTGGCACCTTGTATGGTAGCCTCAGCCACTGGTGTGTGAATGTGTGTGTAGATGGCTGAATGTTT